CAAGCAAGTAAAGTACATCAAGCAAGTAAAGTATACTGAGGAGACAATATGTTGTTTTACACCAAGTACTAACGATCAACTTTACGTGGATGCATATATGGAATTCTCATATGCAGTATATAGCTAAAACCAGTATTTTTAATTTAGTCATCCATGGTTATGAAGGCGGCCGATCAAATGATTAAAAGAATACCAGCAGAGGTTCCCTCTCGTCTCTCAATGAGCAAAAAGTCAAGGCAATCACTATCTTGCAGGCCAGAAATTTGAATGGGTACATGTTTTCATGACATGTAATCGGCTTGGGAACTCATTGGGTTAATAAGTGTTATTTTGGGTATTACTTGTGCAATAGTTACCTTTCGAATCGCTAATGCATCGTGCTTTAGGAATTTTACACAAAGTTTCACCGCGTTTGCCGGTAGAGGCACATCATAACGAATTAACAAATTGAGAAAACTGAAACAAATCTGGAGATAACGCCAGCGTCTGAAAACAGGAAAAAAAAATGTTATCAATTCCATGCTAAAAATATTTAAACTCCTTAATACTTAAAGCCGAATAGTGATATACATTTCAAGTTCAAACAGGAAAGATTTCTTTGTGTTTTGCTTGATCTTGAGTCGGCTCCTTATCGTAATTATCAACGATACACTTATTTGGAATACTTATTACTGCCGATGTCTGTATCGATAGCAAGAGGGCCCATGAAATTTCAGGTTTTGCGGCACCAAACACCTCTCAGAAGGCTTAACTGGATTGGCTGAGAAAACATTAGAACAAACAACAAAAATCAATGAACCTAGCCTTTAGGACAACAGACGGGTATGAAACAAAGAGCAAATGAAATTACAGGATCTGAAGAGGTGTACAGCTTCTGAAGGTTTCTGTTAATGATTTCAGAAATTTTTTTTTCTCCTTTTTCTTGCGAAACTTGTTACAAAACTTCACGGAAGTAAACCCCTTTGGCCCTTGGCTGATTCTGACCCCACTGACTATAAGCTACTCACCCCGCACCCCGCCCCCCCCCCCATGCCTCATTTGCCCCCCTATGCTCAAGTGACTTGGAACAAAATACTTGAGTTGATGCAAAAAAAGTTAACACAAAAGGAATAGACTGATAGAACTGATGGAAAACACATGGCATTACAACTTACAGGCCATCGCTCTCCAACATATCCACTAAAGTGCTGACAAGTTTGTGGTAATTCCTGAAATGACGAGAAAAGGGGTTAAGTTGACTGACTGACAGACTGACTGACTGACTGACTGACAGACAGACAGACTGACTGACTGTATGACTGACGGTCTGACTGACTGTCTGACTGACTGATCGACAAACTGGCTGATTACCTCAGATTATTCTCTCGCGTGTTATTCCAACTGACTGACTGACATACAGACACAGACAGACAGACAGACAGACAGGCAGGCAGACTGACTGACTGGCTGACTTACTGACTGACAGGCTGACTTACTGACTGACAGACTGACTGACTGACTGACCAAATGAACGAATCAGGGAGTGACTGATTGATTGATTGATTGATTGACTGACTGACTGACTGATTGATTGATTGATTGATTGATTTGTTGATTACCTCAGATTATTCTCTCGCGTGTTATTCCAAGCGTCCTTGCTCTCTTTGAGTTCTAAGTCGCTTGGAAGAGCTGTTGCTGTAGGACTTGAGATTGGTTTAAGATGGCTTTGCGGCACGGGACCCGTTGAAGTTAAGAGCCGCTTAGCTTGTTCAACTGCAGAATCGGTAACCTATGAATACGAGAAGTCAAACGTCATTAATTTCGGCACACATAAGGGAACACGTTGAGGGAAAGTGAAGTGAGTACAAGCCCCTTCGTGTGTGCGTATCGGGAACAAGGGTGCTGGAACAGTACTCAAGCTGGTGCACATGAAGCGGATATTGGTTCATTTCTGTGTTGTAGTGGGGAGAGTTTGCAAGAGCAGTGCACACAAGGCTACGTTGAAAACTGAGGTCATTTTGTCCTGATTCATGATGCAAGAATTCAAACCAGCTGAATTTTATGCAACATTTTGCAGGGGCAAAATGTCTCTCTTACCATTCTGCTAACAGCCACCGTATCATACTTCTTCACCATTTTCTCGGCGAGCATTGTCATCAAGTTGATAATGGAAGGCTTTTCAGAGTGGTCAGCCTGCAAACGTTCACAGATAAAAAAAAGATTCTCCTCACCAGGTTTCATACAGCGCTTATAACATTAGTATGGAGAATATGAGTTATGTCTTCCGCGATCAGTTCTTGTTTTCTATTGACTCACAGGCTTGCGATTGTATTGAAGTGTTAAGGGGTAGTCAAATCTCTATCGGGAAAAATTAAAGGACCCTGGACAAGATTGCTTAATATTGTATCGAGTCTGTAGAATATATTAATGGTTGAGTCTGTAGTAACAGCAACGAACTAGTTTTAACAGATCACTGTGACGTTTTTAAATTATTTAAGACTCTCAAAATACGTCCAACTGTCCTCATCGAAAGCTTCAAGTTAAGGCATTTGGTTTGCCAGTTGTAGCATCGTTCTCAAAGACGATGTTTTGACGAGCCAAGCGCCTTCACCACGGTTTCTACTGCATGAAGCGACAAAGAGTATTTCTACTCTCCCCTGAATGAGATGCTAGTCCATCGCAGGGTTACCCTCCCCTCCCCCATCCACATTTTTGTCAGGTTGTTGGTACCCATTTATACACATGGGTGGAAAGAGGCACTGCGAGAGTCTTGGTCACTCCAGACCCTGGGAACGAGGTTGGAGTAAAGTAAAATTTCCTGACTTTTCCCTAATAAATAATTGTATATTATACAATTTCCCTGACCAAATAATTATAGCAGTGGTCTCCTGCCTCCCTTACAGCATGGACTGATACGTTTTCAACAAATTTGCCTTTTTCGCTAAGAAAAAAACATTATGAGATCACAGTGATCTCAATGGTATTGCATCGATGTTGTCATAATTTCAATTCTCCCTGACTGTCTCTCAAAATGTCAATTTCCCTTCACTCAAAATAAAATTCCCTAACACTTCCGTGAACTCGAAGAGTTTTAATTTTTCCCTGACCATTTCCTGACCTGTGGCAAGCCCGCGGGGATTTTATGTTGTTTGGAAAAAGTTCTTAACGTCGAGATGCCTACCTGGACAATAACAGGCCACACATCAACCATGACCTCCCAGTAATGTACTATCAAGAACAACATGCGGTTATTAAGCAACACGTAAAGCGCACCCTGAAAATAACACAAAAACAACATCAGAAAATGAGGGAGAAAAAAAAGCACAATATCGCTTCACAAAGATATTCTGCGTTCATTTCGTTCATGAGATTTCCCCTATAGTGTATGCCAACTTTACGTGTGTACTTGGCAAATTTTCTATTCAGTTGCCAGTCAAAGTGTGAGACGATTAATTTGTAGTTTGGAAAGAAGGTACTCAATACACAACAAATATAAGATTTAGCAGTGACTGCACGTTTGCACAAACCTTGAATTCTTCATGGGAGATGTCTGGGCTGTTTTGAAGTTTAGATAACGTTGGTGGTACCAAGGTTCGAGCAAAGTAATCAAACACATCGATGCAAGACGATAACACTCTTTGAGCCTTGATACGAACCTAGGGATAAAGAAAGCTCGTGACATGATTCTAGAGGTAAATGATAATTATTATTGTAAACAAACTGACAAAAGTAACAGCAGTATGTGTTTCAAAAATCTCGGATTCTCCTGAACGAATCTATCTTTTTCAACTATTGACTGGTCCCGTACATTGACGTACTTCGAATTTTAGTTAATCAGTGCACAGCTCTTTGCTCATTTTTTTTATTCTGTGTCTATATACTTCTGTAGGCATCCTAGTTTTTTTCCCTAATTCTTCTTTGTTTTTTTTTACACTTACGCATGGCAGTCACTACCATTTGCCATTTCTCAGTGGGCGACTTATCTGTAAATCTAACGAGTACAAATATAGATTGTTGTTGTTGTATATAGAAAAACAGTGGAAAGTAATAAGACTTACCTCTGTGTAAACTGTTGTCGCGAGTTTAAACAAATCGTCCAACAACACTTTATGTAATGTTGTTAACTGGTTTGAAATTCGGTTCAGGATTCGCATCTGAAATGAGATTTATATGTATAGTTTTGTCACAAAGTTGCACTAATCAGTACAATCTTGTGTTTGACTAACAATCTACGAATAGTTTATTTTAAAAACGATTTAACTTCATCCTATACCAATATTACCACACCTTTCAATAAAATTTCAACACAAGCTTTCCAAAATTGAATTTCGAAAGCTGCTGTCAGTTGATCATATATTCAGCGACTTGTCGTTGTGAAGTTTGAAGAAATGTCTTTCGCAAGAGCAAACATTGGAGTAGCACTCATGAAAACAACTATAGGCATCTGTGTCTTATTTTTAACTACCGAGGAACATTATTTTTATAGCACAGGAATGTATGAGCATTTTGCGAAACTCAGACTCGGGAGAAAGAAGTGGGAAGAAAGTAAACTATTTGCAGGACATTGAAGAAGATATGGTAAGGCGTGGTTGGTTGGAAAAGTACATTTTTTGAGCGCACCTCATGTTGTAGCTGGACTCTTTCAATAAGCAACGGTCGGACATGTTTCTTCTTTCCTGCAAGCTGAATAACCAAAATAATTAATTATGTAGTCCAATAATAGAGTGGAAATTGGCCATCTGCAAGTTGCCTTTTAACTCTGTGTCAAAATGAGTCTTTGTACGAAATCATTCATATGAAAATGTGTTCCGCCTACAGGTTCATTTTCATGCAAATCAAACTCATTTTCACATGAAAGGTTTTGCATGAAGACTCACTTTGAAGCAGAGGCACAAGGTAACTCGGAAATGGCCTATTTGGATATTTTCCACTTATTATTACTTTTACAAACTTATTAGAACTCCAATGGTTGGTCAACGAAAACAGCCATTGTCTGATTGGGAATATGAGCTTCTTGCTTAAAATTGCGAGTAGCTGATTCCGTTTTAAGTTTAACTTCTAGCAAATAATTACCCTTGAATTGCCTTGAAGATTACACAACACGATGGTTTCTCTGGAGTAATAACTCAATTCACAGGTGGTTGGTAATGTCGTTATGAGAGACGCCGACATAAATGAAGTTATTATCCAACTGCAGTGAATACCATCCAAATAACAGTACAAATATACAGCAATATTGTACAGTTATTTGTACAGTAGGAAACCTGTTTGCGGTACAGGTCGGCGCGTGCATGCAAAACTGTCACACTCTCTCGCTTTTCATTGATAAATTTCTTGACTACAGCAGTTGGATAATAATCTCTTATTAGATGTTCTGGAGTGTAGTATCGCTTTATATTTTTACTCATTGTTTGTATTTTGACTCGCCCTACGGACTCATCAAAATACGACGCAACTCGTAAAAATATACAGCGATACTACACACCAAAACATCTAATAAGATA